CCACCTCCTCCTCCTCCCTCCGCACCACGGGCAGCGGCAGTGTCCTGCCTTCCTCCACCTCCCTCCTCCTCACCACACCACAGCCAGCACAATGGCCTTTGAAAGCCTGTTCTCCAAACCCCCAAACCCAGTTCTTGACCCAAACATGCCCGACTCTGACAGGCAACATGCAGGGGACGAAAGGTCGAGTAACATTCTTCTCTCTCTCCGCTTCTCATAATGGTGATACTAGTGGGGTGATGATGATGCTGATAATGATGATGATGATGATGATGATGATATTGTATTGGAAGTTCTCTGCATTTCTACCCTTAGTTGCTCTAACTGCTGCATGTAGATCTGATGGCGGGCCGCTCTGTAAGGCCAACAGGAAGGCTGACCGTGGTGGGGGGGGGGGATCACTGAACTAGAAGTGCATTGTTAGTAGGTTTTTTTTTTTCCTTTTTTGAATGCATGCATTTTACATCTTCATTTACTTATTCTGGCGGGGTTTGGGGGGGTCAATTTCTTTCCATAAAATGCACTTTCCAGCGGGTGTCTGTTGAATGTCACCATTGTTCTTTTTCTCCCTTGCCCTGGTGCTGCTAGTCAGGTAGGAAGGGGTGTTTTGCTTTGGGTTATTTTTTTTAGGGTTTTTTTGGTTTTGTTTTTGTTTTTTTTTTTTGTTTATAGAAGGAATCTCTCACTAGATCCATATTTAACCTCATTTTGTTGCCAGATTACACCTTACACGTTTAACTGGATCTTTTTTTTATGCAGATTAAGGTCTGACTGACGTTATCTTTGCCACCTCTCAATCCCCATGCGCAGAAAACCAGAGTCCTGTTCCTGGTGAAAGGACCTCTGTTCCTCCCTCCCTTTCTCTCCTGCAGCTGCTGGAAATTCAAATCCTTTCTTCAGGCAGCTCTGGCCTTTCTAACTCGTTCCAAAAATGTTATTCCAGGGTGACTGCTACCAGTCTTTCAGTGCACACATACTCGGAGCATTTGTAACATAAGTGCAAGAGTTAAAATGCTGTGTTTCGACAACTGGGTTTCAGTCTGTCCTCCCCACACATCTCCACGAACATGCTCAGTGCTTGTTTCAAAGGACTGAAAAACACCTAAGAGCTTCTGAGTGAATATCACAGTTCCCTCCTTGGAGTAAGAATCATAAATTCTGTGATATAAATTGTTCAAAAATCATACAGTGATTTAGTGACAGGTTCGGATAGATCCCAGAGCTCCTGATTCTTACTTCCACCTTCCTACTTTTAATTGTGAAGCAGTGTAAGTTCTGTCATAGATGTCAACAAAGAACCTGTGAAACAAGCAAAGTGTGAATAGATTGGAGTTGCTGAAGATACAACATTTCTACTGGTTATATCTTTGCAACAGTAGCGGCAGAAGTATTTTTAGAGTCCACACATTAATAAGTCTGGGGCTTTTTACTATAGACATTGTTTCAGCATTGAAATTACTTTGGGGTTTTTTGTGTTCTCTTTGAGGACAGGCCCAAGAAACCTTATCCACTTGCTCTATTGGAAGCATAGGTTTTCTAATTTAGAGTTACTCATATTATGTGGACAAGTAAAGTTCCTCTTATCAGCTGTGCTCCCTAGTATGCTTGTTATTACACTGATAAATTATGAAACAGAATAAATAAATACTAGTTAATAGTGTTAGGCACTTTTAATAATTGTACGTATACAAGCATTGCTTTATAATATCTTAATTTCAGAACAGTAAAAAACTAAACAAATATACTTTATAAATAATAATTTTTATAAACAAGAGTTTTATAAAACTTTCGTTCCCCTCTAACCTGAGAATTTTATAGCAAAGTGTATTTCTAATACATCTGGAGCGATATTAAAACAAAAGGGGGCAAAATATGTGCTGCCTTCATACTGTATTAGATATGCAAATTTAATCCTGTCAAAATGTAATTTTTTAACTTTCTGAAATTTACAGAGTTTTCTTTGTGAGTTGATAACTGGAAAGGCCTAAAAAAAAAAAAGCACACAGGTCTCTCTGTTCCACAGAAAACATGGTTGACTCACAAGGGGGAGGGGCAGGACAGCTTCCAACAGTTAACGTTTTTAAGTACTGACTTGCTCTTGTCAAGTCTCCTTTGTATTAGGTTGAAAAGGCTCGATAAAATAATTTAGGTCTGTTCTTCAGGAAATATGTGAATATCTGATATGCTCGTATTCTAAGTTTAATTGGAATTTTATTATAGTATTAAGTTGGTATTTTAAAATTAACATGTTTAGTTTGAACACGTTGTATCTTGCGTTCATTTTTTTCCTGCATTGGTAACTCAGTAAGACTAGTTTACTATAAATACAACCCATAATAGGTGCAAGTCCCTGAAATCACTCAACAGATCAGATCAATTGGTGCTGTATAAATTAATAACATTTCTGTTAACATTTAGCAGTTCTGTTTTTGAACCGATCTGTAGAATTAAAAAGAAGTTGGTTGGTTAGTGTAGTGTTTTGAGCAGTAGAATATACAAAAAGTTAGGATATTTAAGATGGAAGCAGTGCTTTAATACAAAGTCTTTGTTTGCTTGGTTTATAGATGGGGCATCTGATTACAGGAGGAAGTTTTTTTCATTCTTTAAATATTTTGAGTTAACTCACTGTGGGGACGTTCTCTTTGAAGAAGTATTTGCAACTTTCTGTATACACAGATAACATGTCTTTTTAAAGTTCTGACCTAAGGCTGGGTTTTATTAAGGATCGCTTTTTATTTAGCTCATTTTTAAAGGAAAAGAAGTCAGAGGCAGGGTGCAAGCAGACCCAAGTACATCAAATAAATACTGTAGACAAAAATAAAACCCTATTGGACTACACACACAAGTCTCCTATTTGCCATCAGCAGGGTAAGAGTATGTTAAAGAGAGGAGTGCAATATTAAGGAAGGAACCTTTATATATAAACTGGTGTATGAGCAGAGATTATTCCACTGTTCCTGAGATCAGCAAGGTCTGATTAGTTGCAATAGTTTGTGGTTGCTGTTATCTTTTGTAGGGTTGGAAACCTAATATTTCTCTTAAACTCTCTTTTATAAACATTGTCTTGTTGCATCATGTTATAGATGAATGTACTGGTTTATATCCCTGCATGCCTAAAATAAGAACTAAATGCTTATTGCAAACTGAAAGAATTCAGCCATCATGCAGACTCTGATTTTCTGACTAATACTGAACTATGAAAGGCATGAGGAGGACTTGTGTGCTCCAGTTGGTTCTGCATTTGAAGTGCCAGGTACTTGAGAACTCTTCTGTGAGTTGCAGCTCCTTTTTTTTTTTTTTTTTTTGACATTGGTACTGGTGCTTTCTGTTGGCTGTCTCTTTATATCTGTCATATAATATCCAGACTTGGAAACTTCTTACATCATTAACTGCTGTAAAAATAGCAGTGACCTAATGAAAGCTCTGAACGTTCAGATGTTAACTGTCGCAGATTATGAAGGTGCAAGTAGTGCTTCTGTCGATAGTATGGTCTTATGAGTTGCATTGGAAGTCTTAAGTATCAGGGTTCTTCTTATATGTTATGGTACGGTAAAGTAGACTACATTAGACATAGTTCTCAATGGACACCTGAATGTCCTGTGCAAAGTTTCTGTAGAAAATTGCACTGATTTTTTCAGAGAGTATTTGTAAATGTCACTTCAAAATTGGGCTTGTTGGTTGCATTTCTGATTCCTTTTTTCCCCAGAGCCATACTAATCATTGTACAATTTTTCATTATATATTGGATGTAAGATACTCTTAAATTTTTTTGATTGAATTGTGGTAGTCACTTTCTTATTCAAGACAAACTGACAGAGTTTCAAAAAGCTTAGCTGAAGTGGTCGATTACCTAAGTCTGCCTGCTTCTAATCATGGTACTGCTCTTCCAGAGCCTCTCCTTCACTAGCTGTGCCCCGCGTGGAGCCAGATGAGCCAGGTGGCTAGAGACTTGCCCCAGTCACCACTTCCTATCTATTTTCTTTCCCAAGACTCCTCCTCCACCTACCTTAGGAATTACCTGCTCCCTTTCAGTGTGCCAGTTCTCCACTCAGGTCCTTGGCAAACGTGATTTTAAACTCTGCCGATACAACAGGTTTATCTGGTTTACCATAGTTGAGCTCTGCTTGGTTAAATTACAGAGTCAGTGGGAAGTAAAGGGAAAAATGTTAGTGGCTGGCTGTAAATAAGGTGGATAGCAGTGAATTTGCACCTGTATTGTATATGTTATTTATACTTTTTCTCCATTGTTGCTTAGTCAACATTATTTTGCAAGCTTCTGCGTCCATATCTTATCTCGATCCTCATGGCTCCTCAGCTCCATGGCTCCTCTGAAGCACCAGAGCGTTGTAGATCAGGGAAGCGCAAACAGCTAAAAATCTCTTACTATCTGTATTTGCTGCTGTCCCGCCTGACTGCTCTCCCAGTCGTCCTTGCCATAAGCTTCCATCCATCTTCAGTTAAACTTAGCAGTCTGAATGCTCTACCTTATGGTTTAATGCCCTCTGCCTACATCTGCCCACAGTTTGATTTGAAAATGACTACTTAGGGCTATTTTAGAAAACTTTTACTAGTAGTTAATCACGAAATAACACAGTCATGTTAAGCTGAAGTTGTTTGTGGTCACGGAATGCAGTCTTGTAGCAATTTATTGTTTTTGAACACAAGTTCAAAAAATGCCTTGACGCTAAGATAATACAAAATGCGGAGGGAACCACTCCCACATACATCCTATGGGAAAACAAGGCTTACTTACCATACAGTGAACACTGTAGGAGTTGCAAAAATGCAGCTAACCTACACAGCAATTACTCCCCATCTTCATGAGGAGGAGCTGGTGATCTGTGTCAATTTCCGTAACTACTTCTACAGCAATAAAACACAACAACTGGAGAGAGTTGGGTGCTAGAGTGAGAAAGTGGGCTTTCTAACTTTCTCTGGTTTTAACAGCTCATTGGTCTCCTGTACCACCACAAGAAACCGTTTTTGGCATATCTTACTGCTGTCTTTTTCACTTTCTTCCTCCATAATACTGAGACGCAGAATCCAGCTGGAGCCAGCCTAGGGATAAAAACAGGTTAAAACCCAAGCAGTCTGGACTGTAACTTTTCATGATATGATTTCCTTGCCTGGCTGTAGATTAGAAGAACTTTAAATTGATAGGGTGCTCAAAAGTAATGGCCAGC